AAGAAATGCTCTTTCAACGGCCCAGTCCATTGTGTCTTTTAACAGTGTCAGGATTAAGTGTTTTTTTAACAGTGGAAATGTTTTTAAATTCTGTTAAATAGCATTGCCATTTTGAGTACATCCTATATATCGGTTTCGCTGTCATCTCTATACTTGTCACTCAGTGCTGCCGGATTTTCGAAATTATGTAGTAGTTTGTAAACAAACTAAAGTTAAAATTAATTTTATTTAATTAAATTCACCGAAACAATGCGAATTAGCCGACACTTTTCGCAATTGTGGGAGAAGCGTAACCCCACTGCCGGCCACCTAGGTACTTATTTCTTCTTTGCGCTGCTGCGTCTAGTCCTGGTGTTTGTGCCCCAGTTGGGCTATATACATCCAGATGAGTTTTTCCAGAGTGTCGAGGTGATGACGGGTAAGTGGAAATGCATAGAAAATGGAAGGCTATTCATACCACCAAATTCATTCGCATAGGTGATCACTTCCGTTTGGAGCATACGCGCACCTGGGAGTTCAATAACTCAATGCCGGTGCGTAGCATCACGTTGCCCTGGGTGCTGATGCGTGTGCCGTGGAGCTTCTACGAGTTCTTGGCATTGTACGTGCGTGACTGGTGGCAGGTGGAGCTGATTAATAGCTATGCGTTTTTGGTATTTCCCCGCCTCATCTACACGCTAATCTCGTATAGCAACGATTGGTGTTTGTATCGCATTTGCCGACTCTACGGGCTGCGCCATGAGATCCGGTTGCTGGCACTGGGCAGCAGTTGGGTGCTGCTGGTGTTCGGCACACGCACTTTTTCCAACACCCTTGAGCTGGCCATGTGCTCCTGGCTGCTCTGTCTGGTGGCCGAGTGCATGTTAAAGACAAACACCATCGTCTACAAGAAGGAGTACCTCGAGGAGAAGTACGACAAGGCGGCCTCGATCAGTGAGCGTGTCAAGATCTGGAAGTTGAAGAACTCGCTACCCGCACACAATCTGCAGCATCTGTTCGCTATGTCCAGCATCTGTGTGGCTGGCGTCTTCAATCGTCCCACTTTCCTGCTCTTCGGCGCGCCGATGGTCTTCTTCTGGCTGCTGCGCGGCATGGGAACGCGCAGCGTCAGCTTTCGGGACTTTAATCTGCGCATTGGACTCTTCTGCCTGTGCGCCCTGCCGGCTCTGCTGCTGTTCATCTTCTGCGACTCGCTCTACTATAAGCACTTGACCGTGGGCGAGCTGCACATGCTGCAGGTGGGCATCGACAATTTCGTATTCACGCCGTGGAACTTCATCAAGTACAACCTGGACCCGTCGCACACGGCCACGCACGGCGTGCATCCCTGCTATGTCCATTTGCTGGTCAATGTGCCGATGCTCTTCAATATACTCGGACTCACTGCTCTGGTGGCCTTTGCCCAGCTGCTGCTGCGCTTCTTCTGTGCCGAGTATCAGCTGCTGCCGCGCTTCCAGAGCATTGTGTCGCTGATGTCGGGTGCGATCTTTGTGCCGCTCTTCTTCCTCTCGCTCATCAATCATCAGGAGCCGCGCTTTCTGCTGCCGCTGACTTTTCCACTGCTGCTGCTGCATGCGCCGAAGCTCATCACCGGATTCAGTGCCACATATCCGTTCCAGACGCAGCATCCGATGCTGCGCTGGCTCTACGATAATGTCCTCTGCAGCCGAGCCTCGGCGCCGCATCTGCTGCGCATTTGGTATGTGTGCAATGTGGTGTTCACGGTCTTCTTTGGATTCATACATCAGGCGGGCATCTTTCCGCTGGCCCAGCGCATGGCGCATGTGGTGGCCACAAAGCCGATGGCCACCCATGTCCATCTGCTCACCTCGCACACTTACAGCCTGCCGCTGCATCTGGTCAATGTTCCAAGCTCCAGGGAGCTGCACTTCAATCCACAGACACATCAACGCTATCGACGCCCGCGCGACTTCTATCTGTATGAATACGGTGGCCTGCCAATGAAGAGCCTTCTGGACAAGGTGAAGCTCATTGCGGGCAACTGCGAACTGAAGCGCAACGGCGCCACGCGACTGCGCTACAAGATGTACCTGGCCATACCGGCGCCGCTCAGCGACGAACTGCACGAGGCGCTGCAGCGCTCCAATGCCAGCAGCTATCTGCATTTCGAGCTGCTCTCCGTATTCTATCCGCATCTGTCCACGGAGGCGTTTCCCCGTCTGCGGGGCCGACATCCCTGCGATGTGGATGCGCCACATTGGTCGCACGATGATCTGCGCGGCACCTGTGACGTGGAGCAGCCGCCCACGCTGAGCTTCGCCTACCTCAGCCGTCAGTTCAGCTCGTTTGTGCATCAGTTTGGACTGGCGCTCTACGAGATCGATGTGCGGCGCAAGCAGACGCGGGCACCCACGCACACAATCGATGTGAACACGACGCCTCTACCCGTGACCACGGCGTAATTGTGGGCAGGGGGCGTGGCCACGTCATAACTGTCGCATGAGTGTCTTAAACCAAAGCATAAGCTAAGCATTAAACAAAATTCTTGTTGGCATCAACTATTTGTAACTCTAGTCACGAAAGGCATTTTTATAACAATTTTTCACACATACACATGCAAAAGCTAACAAGATAAAATTAACTAAATACAAAGACATCTATACGCATAACATTCCTGCTTGTAAACACAAACTACAACTAAGACGAAATTCTAAATTATTACTTGAAAACTATTAAAAATAAATCCTTTGTCGATCTCATATAAAATTTGTAATATATATTATATTTTTATTAATTTTTCATTTTAATTTTTTTATAAAGATTAAATTAGTTGCGGTGAGTTTGAGTATTAAAAAAAGTATTGCTAAATTGTTTATTCTGTTAAAAATGTGCATTCTAATTGTTAAACTTAAATATAATAAATTAAAATTTAATTGAAAAAAAAATTTTTATTTTAAATTTAGAAATGGCTTGGTAAAAATTTATGTCACATGCAAAAGAAGGCGTGAACATTCTATCAAATATAGTAATAAAAAAACTATAATACAAATATATAAAACAAGTAAAGTTAAATTAAAAAATAAATATATAAAATGAAAATTATATACAAATTGATTCGAAATTTATTTTGTGAGTTTGAAGAATACCCCATATAGGGTATATTGACTTGGCGATAATTTATTATATGCAAATGAAGGCGTGGTCAAGCCCAAGCAGAAAAGATGTCAGCCCTTGCTATCTTTAGCCTGATCGTATATACATATATAAGACCTGATCCTGCCACTAATAAGAGCCGTAGACTTCATATGCTGCTCGTATAGTTTGGGCAGATTATATTTGCTTCATATATGTATGAAATTCATTAAAAGTAGTTTGTATCTGAAATTCTTGGGCATATTTATATAAACCAATAGATCAACATGTTGTATAGGATAGTTTGTATCTGAGATTTTTGGACATATTTATATAATCCAATATATAAACCAATACCCAAGGACCACGATTGCCTAAAGAAACGTCAGATCAAAACGGAAGTATATTTTGAGTTTTCTCAAAAGTTTATTCAGTGGAACATTAAAGCAAATATTTGGGATATGGTTGTCGACACAGTTTACTTCTTCTTCAGGAAGGGGCTGAAGACAGCGGGCGCAGCATAGGTGGCAACGGGGGCGGTGTAGGCGGGTGCGGCATAGGTGGCAACGGGAGCTGAGTACGTGGCAGCGCTGTAGACGGACGGAGCGTAGGCGGGAGCAGCATAGGTGGAGTAGGCAGCGGGCACCGAGTAGGTGGTCACTGGAGCAGCAGCGGCATAGGTGGCCGCATAGCTGGGCGCCGCAGCATAGGTGGCGGCATAAGTGGCCACAGGTGATGCCAGGTAGCCAGCCTGAGCGGCGGCGAAGCAGAGAGCCAAGCAGATGAGGAACTGCAAGAAAAGAAGTGAGAGAATTAGTGGGTGAAGAGTGAGAGAGAGAGAGAGAGATGCAGATAGCTACACTTACTTTCATATTGTTGTTGATTGGGTTGTTTGGTTGCCTGAGTTGTCAGCGACTGATGCTGTTGGCCAATTGGCCGAGCTGTTTTATAGCCCAGCGATCGACTGCGCCGCCTTTGGCCCGAAACAAGTTTGGGGCTTAGGCAGAATTAGAACACAATGAACACGCAATGAGAATTTCGGCTGTACTCTATTTAATTATTATTGTTTATAATATATTATTTTATTGATTACGTTCAATGAACGCGGATGCCGCGCCTTGTACGGAATTCGGACCTACGATTGCCAAATGTTTGACGCGGCGTGTCAAATGGATTAATATTTTCCATTTCATGTTCTCTTTCTTTTCTTTTTCTCATTTTTGGCGACAACTCAAACTGGGTATTAAATAATATCAGCGCTTGTTTGACAGCATAAAAGTAAATGACAAAGTGAAAAAGAAAAGAATTGGCAGAAAAGCAAAAGTCTATAAACAGCTTGCAAGAACTGAGCAGGTTTATCAAATTGTTGGTCCATTGAGGTAAGTGTCGAATAAGAGGCGATTGATTGAGAAGTTCTTTATAGTTGTAGAGCTGAGATATACTTAATGGCTAACTTAATGTGCTGCTAATTGAATAATTGCTATAATTTTTAACAAAATATATGTATATTTATTTACCATAAGCTTAAAGACTTTTCTGTAGTTCTCTGCGAGATTTGGAGATTTGAAGTTTGATTTATTTTAAATGGAAATTCTAGGTATAATTGATTCATAAAAATATACGTAACAGGCAGAAGAAGGCGTGGCAGACGATAAAAGCTTATTCCTTTATACGACAATCTCTCGTTATCGATAATAATCGATAGTTGATTTTTATATTCTAAGAGTAGCTGGAATACCATATATTATATACTATTTTTCCATCTATATGACAAAAGTCCGCTCAAAAAGACGTTTCTGAAATAAAGTTTGTTTTCTCTTTGTTTGTCTCTTATTTTTCTTTCTCTTGTCTCCGATTTTTCATCGAATTTCCCCTAGATCCATATAAAAATACATCATTGCTTTGTTTATATTGTTCTATAACTTTATTTGTGATTGAAGGCAATCGTAAATGCTTATAATAAATATTGAATCGTTGATGCTAGCAATTTGAAACTAGACTACGTTGAACTTACAAATTGATTAATCGAATACAAAATAAATATATAGCTAGAGGTTGACTAAGACGACGGAGAGGCATACTATATAGAGTATGCGCGAATTTAGTGGATTTAACGGCTCGTGTTTGGGTTCGGTGAGTCGGCATCCTCGAAGACAAAGTCCTCCTCCTCTTCGTGCCAGCGCACGCTGCGCTCTTTACTGCTAAATCTGCATATTACAGGGTATCATGTCGATCGTATCATCGTGTTTTGGTTTCGTTTATAATTATTTATCGGTTGGCAGTACGAGAAAAAAAGTAAGTTCAGAATATATAGACTTTGTCGCTGTGAACACATAAGAATTTGTGTGTGTTTCGATTGTTACTTTCTCTTGTCAAAAATCAAATGAAAGAAAAACAAAATAAACCAAAAAACACATCGATTAAAATAGTTAATAACGTTGGTAGAACCTGTTCAAGCCGGCCGCAGGAGGGGGTGGCGGAGGCGGCGCACCGCGTGGCGGAGTGCGACGTGCGCTGCAAATGGAAATTTAAAAATTGTTATTAGTTAGTGTTATTATCTGCAGAATAGGGGTATTGCTGTAGTCTTACGCCGCCATAGCGTCAGCGTCCATGTGCGCACCAGTACCATATGTATCGCTCTCGTCCATGTCGAACTCATCGGTACCAGCGCGAGTGCTGTGAAGAGAAGCGGAGAAATAATTGAGATTTTGCCTTTACTGAGACTTCTTCAGAGGAGTTGGTATTTAATTAGTTATAAAGCTTGCAATGCTGTAAAGCTTAACAGCCTTAACAGTTTTGGATTGACACTTAGGTTTCTCTTAATACTTCATAGTAAAGAGAAATAACTGATCACTTGGCAAATAATGTCTCAGTCTGTACATATATATAATTTCGTTAATTATTATACTTGTTCTCAAACTAGTATATTAGTCCAATATTCGTCCTAGTCTTGCTTCGATTCGTCTCTTACTGTCAATCTACATTTCTCTTATCGCTTTTAAAACTGGAAATATATATCAATATATACTTCTCCTATAAAGATATATGTATGTATGTTTTATATAGCTTTTATCATTAGGGGTATGATAGAAAAGAAAAGAATTTCCATTCTCTATAGTTTTACAGTTAGGATCAGGATGTTATGTAAGCAAATTAGTACGGAGCTAAAAAGTTATTCCTATTCAAATTTATTACTTTATTTGGCCTATTCTGACTAATGACTGGGTTATTATACAGTCGGCTGCCGTTTGCTTTATGTAGTTTTTGGCTAAAAAAATATATTTAATTGACTTGATTAATTTAAGCTATAATTTTGTGAAAAAAATAAACTAATTTTAATTTTTGTTTTGTTTTTTAATATAATTTAAATTCATTTATATTTCCTCATTCGCCGTTTAACGTGTGGCATGCTCTGTTAACATGTCTGTCAGTTAACATAACCTGTGTATACCATCAGCTAACAGTCTGTTAATTCAAAGCAGTGGAAGCTTTGGCAAAGCAGTTAAATTTAACGGATGAGGGCGCTTGAAATGTTTTGGCTGATAAGAAATTGTGGGGCGGGGATTAGTAAAATTTTGTAGGTTTATTTAAAAATGCAAAGACAGATCAGATTGGGTCAGCTAATTGGCTCTCGAATCAGTATCAAAATAATTGATAATAATTTTTAATTGAAATGTGAAATGTTCTTTGAGCCGGCATAGAGACAGCTTTTATTTTTAAAGGGGGAGCTTTGGGGCAACTCACAGACGCTGACTCCGCTTGTTCATAATGTCCTGCACGGCTCGGGCTGTCAGGGAGACTTTGTTACGCAAGCGCATGGGCGTGCGGGGCATGGGCACGGCAGCGGGTATATCCGGATTGACGCTCAGTACGGGCGTGACCGGACGACGAAACGGTTCGCTACCCGATCTATCCACATTGTTACTACGTCTTGAGAAACGAGATATGAGTCGGCTGAGTCGCCTGCACGTGGATTTTAGCACTTACAATTTGGGCTTAATACGCAATTGGGTACGGCTATCCGACTGCTGCCTACGGGTCTCAGCGGGCTGTGGGCGCTGCTCGGGACTGGCGCTGTTCTTGGTGCGCCAGCCACTGTCGCGCTGATCGTCCTCAAAGTCAAGCTCCTCAGTGCTGTGGCGCTGGCTGCCAGCAGCCGCAAGAATAATAATAACAACAGAGAGTCGGGGTCAGCTTCGGGTGGAGTAGATTGGGCTGGGCAAAGAAGGGCGGGGGACTTACAGCGGCGGCTTGACCTTATTACGGGACTGCCAAAGGTTGATGATCTTTCTAGACTGACTGCTCTCACGCTCATTGGAGTTGGCTCTACTGGGCGCACTGGATGAGCCCCAATTGTCATCATCGGGCAAGGTGCCGCCGCGACGCCTGCTCAGACATGAAATGCGAGATGAGTGAAAGCCGATGAGGATGTGTTTGTGCATGCAGAGGCGTCTGTGCTTGGGTCTCACTCACAGTTGCTGGCGATTGCGCACTGGCGTATTGATGGTGGCCATTTCACGTGCACGGCTCAGCTCACGCTCACGACTGCGCTGGTCACGCTCTCGCTCACGGCCACGCTCCAGCTCACGCTGCTCCGACTCCTGCCGCCGTTGCTGCTGATGCTGCTGCTGCTGCTGCTGTTGGGATGGTCTTGTTGGAGTTGGCGTTGATTCCTCATCGGCTATGTCCAGTGTTTCCTCGGTGGCAGTGCGTCGTCTGTCGCGAGGAGTTATTAGAATTATATACAGTTATTTTATAGCTATCCCACTTTCGCCTTCTCCCTTTCATTCACTCACAGTTGCGGTCTGGCTCTTGCTGTGCTGCTGGTGCTGCGCTCCCGCTGCTGATCCCGCTTTGCCGAGCTGGTCGTGCGCTGCTTCGGCCGGCCACGACTCTCACTGCGCCGATCCCGCTCATCGCTCCGATCGCTTCTGTCGCTTCGCTGTCGTCGCTTGCCCTTGCTGCGTGCCTGAGCCCGCTGCATGGCATTCAGCCGCGTCTCTATCGTAATCAGATTGAGACCCACCGGCGTGCCAATCGCCCAGAGCAGCAGCGTCAGGAAGATGAAGAACGACAGCCCATTGACAAAGTCCACCAGGTTGCGGCACAGAAAGATGCGACTCGCATCGAACGTATCGTAGAAGGGGCGGCACTTGGTGGTCGTATCGCCCAGCTGTGACTCCATGGTGGCTCGACTGCTGGTCAAATAGGTCTTGAGGCTGGCCGGGCATAGAGATGATGCATGTACAAGGCAGAAGTATATCATTTCATTACAATAATTTCAAACAGCTCTGAGGGTATTCTTCAGTCGAGACACACACACACACACATACACTCAAGCATCTGTGCACTCTTGACTCTGTTTGGTCATTCATTCGGCTCCAGCCGAGACATGTATTTACCCGAACTGTGGACCGTACAAGCAGAGATTGCTATTGCTGCTACTGTTGCCACACACACACGAAAAGGGAAATGCAATCATGACACTTGGCAAACTTAATCAAACGATTACGACTTTCAATTATCTGATAAAACGGAACAAAAACTATGTACCACACGGGAGCACTGGAGCTGAGTTGAGATTGTTTGCTCGTTTGTTGGCTTGCCTCTTGTGAAAAGAGCAACACAACAATAAAACAAACACACACGCACGCATGCACCACACTCACACACACACACACAAACATACAAGTTGGGTCTTGTTCAGCCAGAGGCGTAGCGCAAGGCGTGCCAGTTGAGGTTGGCCCCATTGAAAATCACTCAGATTTCAGTGCAATTAACCCGATAATTTATTGCAAGTGTGTGCATGCGTGTGTGTGTGTGTGTGCGTGTGTGGGCATGTTGCATGCGGCATGTTGCATGTTGGCTCCCACTTCCACTTACCGCTCAGTGTAGACGCGCGTCAAATTGTGACAGATCTCGCCGGCCTTGTTCTCCAAATAGCCCTGAATGCTTTTCAAGTGATTGAGCGTCTGATTGACCTGCTTGGCCCAGGGATCCCTTTGCAGCTCCAGCGCTGTCAGATGGTAGAGTATCTCGTTCTGCAGATTCTCCAGCGGCTGCAGTATGGCTGCCTGCAAACGTTTCGACCGACTGCCCAGCGTCGTCATGCGAGACGATGTGGCCACGTCCTGAATCTGAAATGCGAAGGATTGCCAAAGGATTAGAGACGGCTGGAAGATTACGTTGAGTTTTGCCAGGCGGTTGGCCTGATCCAAGAGTCGGATATTTAATGAGTGGTTTATTGAGTTGGGAAAACGTTTGGACGAGTGGACGAGTCAGCTATGGATTCGTATGATTAATATAAAATAATAAAATATTATAGAATATTGATATAAAATATAATAAAATAAATATTAATAGAAGATGGCTGCTTAACATTTTAGAAACGATTTATAACAGTATATTTATAACAGTATATATATATTATATTGTATTAATATTATATTATTATTTATAAGAATATGGTTCTACAAATTGTATTTAAATTTTTGCTATTATTATTATTTGAAATTTATTTTTGCTTTAATTATTATTATTAAATTATTGATTGGCATAATATAAAAATTAAATTTGAATTCTCAATTTATATATATAGTATAATTTTTATATTAAGTACTACCATATCTTTTAACAAGTTTAATTTTCAAGTTTTTATTTATTTTAATTAAATTTTAATTATTATATTATTGGTACAGGAATTATTTAATTATTATTTTTGTATTAATATTATTTTTTTTTTAAAGTTTTGTTTGTATGATTTTGTAAACTTAAATTAATTTGATATTATTTATTATTACATTTATGTTTAGTGTTCATTTATTTATTTGTTGTTATTTTAATATATGTTTTATTAATTTATTTTATTTTTATTTTTTATATATCATTAGATAATCATTGTTTATATTTTATACAATTTATTTATTTATTTTTTTTAATATTAAATTTGTATATTAATTTTATTTATTATATTTATATTTATTATATTTTAAGTAAAATAAATTTAAGTGCTTGATATACGCTCCCAACGTCATTTGAAACCCATTAAATCAAAATTGATTTTATGCGCACAAAAAATTCCTTTTACTATAAATATATATATGGTATATAAATGTGCAGCTCTTTGTATAAATGGACATGTGCTAAAAGACTTAAATGGAAATCGATTTGTTGCTGTTGTTGCTGTTGTTGTTGTGTTCGCTCACCTGAAGGGCGACACGCTGCATTTGATCAATGAATGTGGCCAAATCCTTTTCGGGTGTGGGTGCGCCCACGCTGTTGCGGTATGTGGTTAAATTGAACGCGGATGTTTGCAGCATATTCTCCAATATGTGCTGAATCGACTGGGTTAACGAGAGCAGCGTGCGCTCCGATACGGTAATGGCATCGATGGCTGTTGAGACTTTTGGGAATTGTTTTAAATCGGCTATTTTTGTGGTATTAACGAACGCATCCAATTGAAAGACATTGTACGATGCTTGATTTTGTTCGCAGCCCCTGATTGCGTATACGCCGCGTGTTGCCAGTCGGTCATTTGAGTGAGTGTGAGTTTAAGTGTGTGTGTGTGTGAGTGTGAGTGTGAGTGAGTGTAGTTGCAGAGCGAGTTATGAGTTGGTTCGTTGCAAAGAAATGTCACAAAATTTTTAGTTTTCTTTATGTTTGCTTGCCAGCTTCAATATACGTTGAGTTTCGGGTTCTACTTATGGGGCCAAAAAACCAGATACGCTCGCACACACACCACAGCTAGCTGGCAGTTGCATTCAAGGGTGGGTGGTGCAAGTGGGCGTAGCTGTGAATGGGCATGGCCCATGCGGTCATGCATATTCTGCAATGGGGCGCATGTGTGCGTATTTGTATCTGTGCAGATAATTGGAATTGGGCTTAAAATTTGTGGCTACAAATGCTGTGGGCGTTTGTGTCTCTGTGTGAGTGTGTGTGTGTACGTGTTTGTGCTCTCGTATGCTGCGTAAAATTAAGTGCCATGCGGTGGCTAGCAAAATTTCATTGGGCTTTCAAAACTTTGCGGCCGGTTGTCCATATGTAGGGGCATCTAAATTCTATGTAGTCTTTGGACTCAGTGCTCTGCGGTTGTGAATAATAAGAGTGCTCAACAGTGACGCAAAATTTGATGGCAGGTCAGGTCTACTTGCGGCACACATACATAGTAGCAGTAGTTCGCCAAGTGCAAACTTCTGATAGTGCTCTCAAGAAACTTTGCATAAGCTCTCGATAGTCAAGTGTGGCTAACAAGCGGCTTTGCGACAATCAATAGAGACGCCCATTGGGGCGGGGATTTTACATGGTTTGGTTTCTCGGAATTGAACCGTCAATTGTGTCAATTTGGATATCAACTAACTTGTCAATTGCTATATATATGTATATAACATATATATAACAGATATCAGAGTAGTTGAATAGAATAATAAAAAATAAATAAATTGATCTACTGAATGTTAGCTTATATTGGGAATTAAATATTTAACATTTAGAATTTTCGCGAAAATTTCTAAGTGAAGTAAATAAATATATTATAAAATATTTAAAAAAAATAAAAATAAGAAAGCTCTAGTCGAGACTGCTCGACTACGAAATTCCCTGAACCCTACGAGGAACTGATATATCAATAATTCTTCTCATAGTTAAGGCAGCTGCATGACAAAACCTGAATGCTACGAGACTCGATGGAAGGTGCATTAATACAAATTGTGGAAATATTGATCATAATTTGCTCGTTCAGAAAAATAATATAGCCCCATGAATGCCTCAGAAACTGTGGGCCAACTCTTCTAGTGAATGTGACCAAAATAAAACTTGAAACTTGAGTTAGGGCAGCTGCATGACAAAAGCTGAATGCTACAATGCGTTCAAACGGACAGGGCTAAGTCGACTCAGCTCGTCGCCCTTATCAAGAATATATATGGAGTCTGCCACGCCTCCTTCTGTATGTTACATACATTTCAACAAAACCATTATACCCTGATTTCCCATTTTCAATGAGTTCAGGGTATAAACATAAAAAATAATTACTAAAACTAAAAGTTGAAAAAAAAAATAAAAATAATTAAATCAAACTAATGAATGATGAATATGTTATTGTTTTGCATTTATAATATATATATTTAAATAACCTGCATAACTACATTTTAAAGAATTTTTAAGGTATTTGTCTAGAGATTTCATATTTTGACTATAAGAAATTCTGTGTACATATTAAAGTATTCATTAAAGTAATATAATTTATGTGCTGCTATTATATAATTATATCTTAGTTGTTCATTTTGATAAGGGACTGTAGGCAAGAGCAGTTGGCATATTGACAGCTACCTAAATACTCATCTGTTTGGCGGGTCAAGGGCAGTAAGTATATCTTCTGCATGGATTGGTGGGCTATCAAAATTACAGGCACGTACAGTATCAAAGTAATTGGATAAGAGAATTCGTTACTTAAGTTGCTTGTGGACGTACAATATCGGAGGGGCTTATCTGGGGAGGTCTAAGTACACGCATATTAGTGGACATGGTTAAGATAGAGAGAGATACAGAAAGAGAATCCACTCACCTGAGCGCTGTGCCCAGACTGACATTAACCACAGATCGATTGACGCCAGCTGGACGTAGCAGTTCGCCGATGATGCCCGTTTGGGGTTCCTCAGCATAGACATAGCCGGGCTTATCGAATAGCTTACCCAGCATCTCGTAGTTGTTGCTGTTGAGAGAGCGGCACAGGAAGACCTCTGTGTTGCCGCCAACGGCCAGCGAGAAGACGCCGTAGAAGGTGAGGCAAATGCTGGCGATGCATATGATCAGAACAGCAATGAGAAAGACCACGCCCGATTTGACATTCGACTCGCACAGGAAGCAGCAGTAGGACATCAGCATGAAGAGCATCACCCAGACGATGACCAATGCAGCGATCCAGCCAATGCTCCAATAGGTGTTCGCCCATGCCTTCAGCTCATTGTAGCCCGGCTCCAGAGCTGGCCACGTGCGTTGTAGTCGCTCCAGCAGTGCATTGATTGTCGACGTCAGCATCTGAGCATTCGCCGTCGTCCTATGCCGGATGCTGGCCAACTGCTCCAGCGTATCTGCGAAACAAGTTTGGCAATTCAATTAGTGTATTGCGTAGCCCAGGTGACAGTAATTAATATGGTGTTAAACTTGGACCAACATGCATGCTGTCTAGCTGTCCCACACGCTGGGTGTGTTACGTGCAAATAGCACATGCCACACCCACACTAGCACGCCCACACTAACACACACGCAACGTGTTGGCCCTGGGCCCTTGTCCTGCGCTACTGATTGAGTTGTACATTTAAATTGAACTCATAATCGAGTTTGTGTTCGAAAAGGTTTATGCAACTTGTAGAATTAAATGTAATCAAGGCTGAAGTGACAATGAAATAGCTCAAAGTCCTCAACGTCTCCATTATCTAAAGTGTATGTTGGGCTAAAATGATTTTATATCTTGCCTTCGATATTTTGTTTTACCTCAAGCTCAATTTTCGTATATTTTATATATGAAATTTATGTTTGTTATTTAAATTTCTTTGTTTAGCTAGCAATTTTGTGTGTCGCTTTGAATATTTATTTTACGGTATTATATTTTACTATTTTTAGTTTTTATAAAAATGTATTTTTTCTATTTATTTTTCACAGCCAATAAAATGGTTCAATAATTGTAAATATTTATTTTATTTTATTTTATTTAATTTATTTTTTTTTTAAATTTAAATCCCAAATAAAATAAATGGAAACTATTCATCTTAAATAAAAGTAGTTCTTTCTTATCTTTTTCATCAAGAAAAATGGTTATATGAAGATATATTTAAATAAAAACGCTTTACGAATTTAGTTGATTTACTTGAGCTTGCAGTGATAATAAAACAATTTATGATCAAATAGCATTTACTAAACATTTTGGCAGTTGACTGATTTGAATAACTTAAACAACTGTCAAAATATATTTAAGTATCACTCTTGCTTGTTCACCCAGACTTGCTTAAAGTTTTCTATTGAAAACTTTCTAAAAATAAAATTGAATAGAAAAACCAATAAAAAAGCAAAATTTCATATGAAAACAAAAACCAGCTTTATATCTCTCAAACTAGCGCTAGCACACACACACACACACACACACACACACACACACACACACACACACACACTTTAGCTCTCCTCGAGTTACATTTCTAGCAAAACTCGGCTATATTTATGCCTTGAAAAAGAAGCAAGAAGAGAATCATTTGATTTGTCATGAGTTTTGATTGGACTTACAGTTGCGTTCGTATGCCGTGTCGTGTTTGACTTGTTGAGGGAAATTGCTGAAAATGGAACGTGAGACGCCAACTTCCGATGTTAGATTCTTGACAGTGGCACCAAATTCAATTTCGCCCAAGTAGCGCATGCGAAAGATGCTCTGGTCCTCTTGCAGCTGACAAATTGCAACGAGGCGAAATTTTAGATGGCCGCGAATTAGTTCATAGTTGCAGTTGCAGTTGCAGTTGCATTTGCAGTTAGCACATGAAATGGAAATGGAAATGGTGCACAAATTAAATGGGAATGAAGCGACAATCAAGCTGACTCAAAGCACACACCGTCTTTAGGGCGTCCACAACGCCGTTCTCCTCGAAGCTGCGTATACGCAATGTGTCGCAGAGCGGACGGTCCCGGTACGTGCATTGGCGCTGCAGCACGGATAGCTGGATTTGCAGCTCCTCCATGCGGGCGGCGGCCTCCTGCGACAGCTTCAACGCCCGTCCAACCGTCTCCTGCAGCATGAGCACGCGATAGATGAGCTCCGCGTTGGCTGCAACCGAATATATACCATGAAAACATTATTGTAGCATATTTATTTTGGGGCCGAGCGGACGGTGCTGACTGTGACTAAATTACACATTGTGTGCGCACATAATGCAGCTGTCCTTCGTGACATTTGTGCTTGTACTTGTGTCAACTTGAGGATGCGGATGAGGCCTGCCAGCCTCCCAGCCTGTCAGCCTGCTGAGGCCTTCCTGAACCGTTCTAAACCTGCCTGAGCTTCACATTGCGGCAGCACGCGGCATCCACTCGTGCTCGTTTATTTGCCGATAGCTTCCGCCTAATGAAATTGGCCGCAAACAATTGTTTCACTCCTCCCACTTCAATATACATTCTAGCTTTGTCAAGACTCTGAAGATTAAAGCGCTGTAGCTGGGAGTTGGTATAGGGAATAGCTTGAAGTTTATATTCCAAGGGAGAGATAAGCTAACTCTGACTGCTGCTATAAAGATGAAGCATCAATTCTGCCTTTCCATCAACTTCTCTTTGATTATTTCTGCTCCAATACCTAAGACGCTTTACAACACTTTGCTCTATTATTGCGATAAGTTTGCACTTCCGTATACAATAAAAAAAATCCAAAAAACTAAAAGTATGTGGTAGAAGCGGATTTGGGTCAAGTCCGAGTTGGACGCATTGAGGCACACAATGGCTGTGGAGCACTTAACCAATAGACAACTCACCCAGGCTAAGTGTCGTCAATGAATCATATGCCAGTTCGAGGCCAGTGTGTGCAGATATTTCCGCTTGAATTGGCTCGCCAAGGAGAACATCCACGTCTATGGCAAAGGAAAAGAAAATAGACCGTAAATTGAGTTCACATGCGAGCAGCAGCAGGAGCAGGAGCGGGAGCAGGAGGAGGAGTAGGAACAGTCACTGCAATAACTCACAATGCAATGCATAAAGTTTTTAGCATAATACATGAATCGAAAACTATAAAATGTGCGCGACGTGGTTGCCCATAAAGTTGGCAAGGGAAAAAGTTTTTTGTTTGTAGTTTTTGTGTGTATGTGTGTGTGTGTTGTGGGCACACCCACTGACCTTCCAGATCTTTGACGACTTTCTCAACGGAAACATGAAAGCCATTATCCAGTTTGTGTTTGATTTGTAGATGGGTATCCTTTAGAAAGACCTCCACATCGTGCACAGCAGACTTGACCATCTCGGGCGTCATCTCGATGCGCGCCGCAAGGCGACTGTTCGCATAAAATATGCTAAAGTCGCTCAGCCTGCAAAGTGCCATTAAATTGAGTTGAGAACTCTTCAGCTAGACTGAATGAAACTTTCCCATTTGGCTGAGACACCTACGTGAGCAGTATGAACACTATCCAGAGGGTGACCAGGCCGGCGCTCTTGCGACAGCGCAGATTCTCCTCCAGCGACTCGTCGCGTATGTGCATCGATGCGTTCTGTATGAGATTGACCTCATCCTGGGTGCTGCGACGACTGCAGCACCATGCACAGGTGGCTATCAATGGCACCAGTGCCAATATTGCGAAAATACTCATCAGCGCTATGAAACCGGACTCGATTTTAATTGCCTGAGGCGCACAAAAAAAATTTGATTAATTTTTTCACATAAGAAAGTAGAGAGTGAGTGAGAGCTGAGCACATATGAAACATAATAAGCTTTACTTACATTCATGGTAAAGTCGACAAAGCTGACATTTTTGTGGAGCACATCGCGTATGGAATCTGCAAAAACAAAAAAATTTATTATATTAATTATTTAAATAATGAATTCTAAGTTAATCAATATTGCACAATAATTATTTATTAAAGTTGTTCTTATTTTTTTGTTTTTAATTTGATTGTTGAAATGAATAGTCCAGAAATCACTTTATCTTTATTAAATGGATATTTATATACACATTCAATTTTGTTTATTATTAAAATTAATTCGTTTGTAAATAAAAATTATATATAACATTTTAATATTTTTATACAAAAAAAAAAAAAAAAATAATAATAATAATAATAATTATAATAAAAATAATAATAATAAACTTAATGAAAAAAAAAAAATAATAATAATATAACAAAAATAATAAATTATAGTAAGTAAACCTCTAACATTAATATATTTAAAATAAAAAAATAAAAATAAAATAAAAAATAGAAATAATAATATTAAAATGTTTTAACAATGGCAATGTTTGTTTTTAAAAGCAACATAATATGTCACACAATTATAATAAATAAAAATAATAATATACGCTAATATAATTAATAAACAAATTAAAAAAAATAAGTTATTATTAATTTTTAAAAAGAGATGAACATTTATAGCTAAGGCAACATTTGTTTTTTAAAAGAAAAAACATATAAGCAGTAACACAATTATAATAACTTGTAATATCCTTCTGCATTTCTTATGCAAAAGAAAGAAAAATATTGAATTAAAATCATTTCAATAATATAGATATATTTTTAAAGCTATTTATTATGGCGTAATCACTTAGTTAATTTGATTCAGATGATGGTTCAACGTATTCGGACTCCTCGTTCATATGCTGAATGATCAGCACATTAATCAGATTCGCCTCGGCCAGGGTGCGCGGATCGGTCTCGTGCAGCTCATGCCGTGGGAACACAGTCATGAGCAGGAAGCTGTCGGCGGCGTATTGGGGTCGCGCCGTGCGCAGGTAGCTGTAGAGATCCCCCACATGGTGGGAGGTGTTGAAACGTGCGGCGACGCGGCTGCCATTGGCCAGACGAAACTGTATTGTGGTCGTGGCAGTCTGTCCGTTTAGCTGTACCGTTTGCTGGGCGTCATCTTCGTGCCGCTGCTGGCGCTCCTCTGCCGATAGCAGTTGGCTTGGCCGTGCGCCTAGCTCGAGCGGTGGCGTCGGACTGGACAGCGGTCGACCGAAGCCCATGAACTGTTTGCGCGACAATTCGCGATACGATTCGTTGGTGCGATCCCTCACACTCAGCTCAATGCGCTGGCCGAGCTCCTGCATCTCGTCCGGGAAGTCGCCACGCATGATGGCGCGCAGGAAGCGCTCGTTCTCCGGCACCTCGTACGGTCGCAGCGAGCCATTGTCTAGCGAGAAACCCTCGGACCACAAATGCAATACCACAATAGTTCGCTCGCGCTCCTCCAGCTCCGAGTCGGAGTCCGTGTCGACGCCGGAATTTGAGTCGCGTGTCGGCGGCGGAATGATCGGATGAGCGCTGCCCAAGCGCATGCCATGGCCCCAGGCACGCAGACTGCGATCGCTGTCCGCTGTGGTCAGCGCCGGCGTCGAGTCATCGATGATCACGCGCTTCGACTGCGTTTTGCCACTCGGCGGCGGCATGGAGCTATCGGAGGCGCCGCCAAAGTACGCCTCAGGCTCATCCGCTGGGCGTATCTGATGGCTCAGCATACTCTGCAGCGAGTGGAACTCATGGACGGGGGGTATTGTTTGGTTGCTGCGCTGCTTGGCCTTGTCGTCCTCATACTTGACGCTCGCCTCGTCCAGCGCCCAGTTGTTGGCTGTCAGATACTGACGTGCTACCGCCTCCTGTACATTGTGTTTTCTCATAAAGCTTGCCAGCTTTTGCTCATCGGACATCTGCGGCTAGCCAGCTAGGGGCTTCTCCTTCAATACGTTGACCAATTTTGTTGATAAATAATTTGTCATTAATTCATATTGTGTGCTTTTTTTTTTTTTTTGCTTTTCTAACCAGCTTTCTCCAAGCTGACTTTGCTACAATTCTTCAACGCTTCAAAAATTCTATTGTGGTAAAGTCGGCGCGGTGACTAGCATATTTGATAAGGCATTCTGCCACACCATCGCGACCTACGACCCACGGACTGCACACTAAAATCGTGTAGTACACGGCGTAATGTTTGTACGACTAAGAGCCATAAAATATACGCCAGCTGAATTTAGTGTCATAATTTAATCCAATGTCGTACAGCGTACAGCATTCACAATGCGAAGAGCTGCCGAGCAGTGACCATGAAAATCATTCACAATAGGGAAGCGAATGAAGTTGAATAAAGTGGCGTTGGGTATTTTTCTGTAATATTCTTATATATAATCTGAGAAGAATATGTATTTACAGTTACGGTCATAGAAATAGCTCTGAGATGATATGATGCCTCGAGTTTAGCTGATTTTATTCCAAGTTCCATGTTGCATCCGTTTACTGATTTGACTTATTCGTAAACTTAACTTAAATTTTTGGAAAGTAGTTCTTCGAGAAGTTATTGACTTTTAAAGGTCATGTAATGTACTTTAATTTTCTAATCAGGTATTACATTTGCTTTAGGAGATTTTTTTAAATACTTTTCTTATAATTTTTTTTTGTAAGTTTCGCAATATTTCTTTATGTGATTCATTGCTGATATTTAATTTCCAATAAAAATATAATATATCAATTTTTATTTTTTTTTTTATCATATATACAATACATAGCCAGATACGGTTTCATTAATCATATTTCTATAAATTTGTATATTTAAAGAGTTTCTTTTGTATAAATTACATTGCATTTCATATATATTTTTGGTATAAATGATTTGAGTAGGCAAGCATAGTCCAAATAATTGCTTGGCAGTCAGATACCACTAGATACCAACACACACACATATACACACACAATAAAACCCTGAACCTTTACCCAGAGTCGCCCCACAAACTTACCGAGAGGCAATTCTTCGGGCGTGATAAGCGATAAAAATTCACTAACGTAGGTGAATATAAATGGTCCCGGCGCAATGTCCATGCCTGGTATGCTGTATGTAAAAAATGTGGATGTTGTTGTTGTGGTTGCTGTTGCTGTCGTTGCTGTTGCTTCAATTGTTGTTGGCGAAATTGTTGTCGCTGGGCCACTGGACATTGCGGCGGCCAGCGCTGTTGTTGCTGTTGACGAGAGCATAATTGTTGTTGCGGCTGGCGGTGGCAGTGTTAGATTACGTATACCTAGGTCCATCTTTGGCCGCCTCGCCTTGCCTCCGTGGGTGACCGCAGCTCCCTATGAGTGTTTGCCTCTGAAATGAAGGAGGAGAACAATGAATGCCTGGTAGCCCAACAAGAATGGACAACATTCATAGACACAAGCATACACATGCAGAGAAAGGGAGTGAGAAAGAGAGAGAGAGAGTGAGAGAGAGAGAGACAGAGTTGAGTTAGTGGTTGGAGTATGTTGTAAAATATTTTAGGAATTTTGTGTTCCAATTATGTATTCATATTTATGCCCCAAACCAGACGCTAGTAACTCACACGGCTTATATGACACACACAGGAATATAAATTAATAATTATAACGCTCATAGGATATTTTCACATATTTTTTCCCTGAAATTAATTTACAACTGAAGTTCCTTGTGCTATTTAATAAACTGAACAGCAAGAGAAAGAATTCCTGCGTAAGCGAAATATTGTGTATGAGATTTGATAAGGACTGCCTTAGGATAAATATAGAAAAAACATGAAGTATATATGAAAGAAGATATATGTAGATGTAAATAGCTATTAGAGAAGAGAGGAAATGCTAGATACAGATACAGATACAGATACAGATACAGATACAGATACAGATACAGATACAGATACAGATACAGATACAGATACAGATACAGATACAGATACAGATACAGATACAGATACAGATACAGATACAGATACAGATACAGATACAGATACAGATACAGATACAGATACAGATACAGATACAGATACAGATACAGATACAGATACAGATACAGATACAGATACAGATACAGATACAGATACAGATACAGATACAGATACAGATACAGATACAGATACAGATACAGATACAGATACAGATACAGATACAGATACAGATACAGATACAGATACAGATACAGATACAGATACAGATACAGATACAGATACAGATACAGATACAGATACAGATACAGATACAGATACAGATACAGATACAGATACAGATACAGATACAGATACAGATACAGATACAGATACAGATACAGATACAGATACAGATACAGATACAGATACAGATACAGATACAGATACAGATACAGATACAGATACAGATACAGATACAGATACAGATACACATACAAAGCTGTTCTTACATTATGGACTCCGTTTAAACTTTGATCAGTTTAGTTTTATTTATTCATTTAAAGCTCTTTTATTTTAAGTTGCTTTCGTTTTGCAGATTTCAATAAAAAAGGTTTTTACTCTCACTTTAATTTATTTTAAGCCATCCTTAAGTCGAAAACACTTTAACACTCTTAAGTCTTACATTCGCACAATTGCCTGCCTTGACCAAGTTCGCATTTCATTTAACATTTCAACTATTGTTTTTGTTGTTGTTGTTCGGCATTCGCACTGCGTTCCAAGGTGCTGCCCCAAATTCGGCTCGACACGTATTCACGGCACGACGCCAAGTATTGTCCCTGAATTTGAGGCGCCTTGAATCGAATTTGTTGCACTCGTTAATTCTATTAATTTCATTTTTCATTTATTTGTGTGTCTCTCTTTAGTTTTGCTGTCTTTTGGTCTTTCAATTGCTGTCAACATCGCCTCTGCTGACTTTCACTGTCTGCAACATAAGTACATACATACATACATATATTGTATATCTATTGTACTTTATTCACGTATTGTTTTGGCTGTTGTCTGCTGCTGCTGCTGTTGCTGCTGTTGCAGTGAGTGCGGCAACCCCGAAGCCCCTCAATGACCGTTCGGCAACTCTTTTGCAATTTCCTTGACAATATATGCTGCAGTTGTGCTGGCCAATGGCCATACTAATTGCTCTCCACTGGGATTTGCACTGCTCGGAATTAGAGCAAACCAATACGAGCGAAACTTAAATAGTCTTGAGCTCGAAAGTGGGTCATTAAAATGCAATACCCCAAGGCAGGGCATGGGTACTAGAGGCTGAACACGCTTACTCTACCTTTCTATCTCACTCTCTCTCTCTCTTTCTCTCTCTCTCTCTTTCTTTCACACTGCCTCTCTTTCTCTTGCTCTGCCTGCGTCTGTGCGATTATGTGAGCTCAATGGACACAAGTCAAGGCGCTCGAATTGCTTGCCAAGCTCTTCTGAAGGCAACTCGATATGCAATGCGCTGAAAGGTGGACATGTAGTCGTTGTCGTTGTCGTTGCCATTGTTGTTAGTGTTGTTTGCTGTTATTGCATTTGTTGTTAGCATATTAGTTAAAGCCGTTTTATGATAAGTACTGGCTGTGATGGCATGAGGTGACAAAGTTCATGCCTGAGGTTAGCACGAAGCGAAACTAACTCCACATGCGCTTAGGCTTAGGCTCTGCTAATAGCTTAACTCCATTGAAATGAACATATGTGCGATATGTTTGTGCGCACAAGACAAATAAATAGCTATGCTGCCTATGGCAAAGTGAAGCTAATGTGTGCATTAATTATAATATCATAATTTAATAATGGGCAATATTTTTTGAATTTAGAATTACTTTGCTTGAATTTACTGAATTGCAATTACATAGGTATGATGGAATTAGGCACAAATGTATGAATTCGACATGAACATGTTATGAAATTGTGGCAGTTTATTAGAGACTAAATCACTTTTTAGTTATGCGAAAATAGAAAATATCTCTTTGACTTTAATGACAGAATGGAAATATTGCATAAATGCCTTTCATTAATTTGGTCATTCATTTATATATATATTTATTTTATTTTATTTTTTTTTTTAATTCTAAACAGTCTTTGGCATATATAGAATATTTGATATAAATGTATAAAAATTTGTTGGTCCACTTTGCGTATGCTTGATATATTGCATATTTAGAAAGCTAATATATTTATGTACAAATTAAAAAAAAAAAAAATAAAAAATAAATAAATAAATAATAATAAAATAAATAATAATAATAATACCCAAAACTGACTTATCTAAATAATTATCTACAATTATCTGCGAAATTTGAACAGTTATTCGCGCAACTGTGCATTCTTACTCCATTGCATATCAACACCTACAACAATGCCGTATTAGGTATATAAATATATATAAAAGTTTTTTGCTTTATTAATGACTGAATTTGATTGAAGCTTTGTCTATTATTTGCACATATTTTTGCTGCGTTTGCCCGTTCAGCTAGGCGCATCAACGTGTCAATGAGTGTGTGTGAATGGGTGTCGAAGGAATGTTGAGTGCGAATGTGTGTGTGTGCTAAAGGGAGTCAACGATTTTGATTTGCTGCACGCTCCAGTTCTTACTAATGCGCATAGACTTATTAATTAATAAGTTATATGCTAAATCAACTTACCTCGTTTGCGTGTTGTAATTGATTGATTTCGTAGCCTCTGTCGCTCTCTCGCTCTCTCTCTCTGTCACACACACTTCGTGTCTGCCTCTTTCACTATATGTATATTTAGGTTGGCTGTTAAGCGTTCAGAATTCCATCTCGTTTTTTTTTTTATGTTTAGCAAAAACTCATTAAAATGTAAATTCCAGCAATTTATTGGTATTTCATTCGTTTGCGCGTTTACTTTATAAATTGGTGCGAACACATCGTAAATAAAATAACTGCATCGATTACAGAAGTAAACATATTTTTGCTGGCATATGCGGAATATTTGCTCCGTGTTTGGCTATGCACAGAATTGCATATTTTGTTGCTGTTCATATATTTATTAATTTTTTTATTGATTTTTGATTTTGTGATTTGTTTTAGCCAGCGATATGCATCGTCACTGTATATATATTTTTTAAAACGATTTAATAGCAAATATTTCAGAATATTTCAGTATCCTGGGACTGTATATGAGTGCATATGGTATATGGTTAATATATAACTATATATATATTTCTATATTGACTGGCACAAAGCTCGACACGTTTTACAATTTCAAGCGCCCTCACAAGACTGAACTGCAAATGGCCCGAAGCCCAAATAATCGCCAAAGAAAACTTAGAAATTCTCTTTAGTTTATTTTGTGGCAACAGGCAGCAGACAAAACCCGGCTAAAGCGTGTGGTATGATTGTCCATAAACAGTGGTGAATTCCATTCTTACATTTCTTTTCGCCTCACCCATTCAGCACGTGTAGAATCTGAGCTACTGGCGGGCAGTTTGAGAGATGAGGCTGGTAGTTGTCCATGTAGAGATCTGTTTGTAGAGAGTGTGAAGGTCTTTAGCACTGCAGTTGAGGTGTATGTCTAAAAATATTCAAGATCTACAAATATATAATCGATTTTTGGAATCGATTAATAATCGATTTCATGGAATCGGTAAGTATATCAAATAAATTAATCTAATTTTTTCTTTGTACCGTATCTGCCATATTATAGGGAGTTTTTAGTAATATAAATAGTTCTCTCCTTCTCAACGACAGATATCAAACAAGTCTACAGATCGATATTGATAACAGGCCCAACAAGAGGTCGTCGTACAGCTGGATTTAATTCTGTTAATTCTCATTTTATACTATTTAAATATACAAATATATTAAGCATTTAAAAGCCTAATATATATATTGAATATAATATGATAATAAATTAAACAATAAATAAAAATATTTTGTATATTAAATAATTGTTTAACTTTCATAAAAAAAAAATAATTTAATATTAAATATTTAAAAATATATTATATACTCTGTAAGCAACCCAGCTAAATTGAAATATAATAGCTCTGTAAATAATAGTAATTTGGTAAGTCTTTAGAGCTGCGAACTAAGTTCGACTTTTTTGCAAATTAGTTAGTCTTTAATCAGAGTTTCATTGCTCGACTTTGAGCTCGCAAAATGGTTTAAGAAGTTGATGAAAAAAATCGATGCTTTTTTTTCAGTCGCATTTATGAAGTGCTCACGTCTGCTGGGTCTTTGCATAAAGCACTCGAGAATTTTGTTTTTAAAGTGGCATCAACGCCAAGCCAGACAAAGTTTTTGCCACGCATTCCACTGACAATCTCGGCGAGGGGCTGTGGAGACTGTGTGGGACGTGTGGGGAGTGCAGGGCAACAGCATGGCTGGGGTAACTCTGTGCCGTTTCTAACATATTGTCACAGGCTGCTCACAGCGTGTGGCGAGGCTCGCCTCACCAGCCATGCTGTGGCTCGGCGTAGGCAATGCCTTTCAATGGCTAAAATTCAATTTTCCTTTGATTTATGCATTTTGTGTGCTCGCATTTGCACGGCAGCCCCGAGCCAGCCACAGAGCTTCACAAGCCATCCACATTTCAACTTAAATTCTGAAATTCTATCAAACTGAAACTTGACAACATCTGCAGCTGCAATTGCACTTACGGCTGCAGCTTCCAATGGCCCACACGTAAAACTTGCTTTGCATATAAGTATTTCAGCATTGAGACAGCTCGTGGAGCTTTGCTTACTTCCAATTTCCACTGTATTGTATTTCCATTGTATTGTTTGTGTGCAGGAATATAGGCAACTACAGCAGGATACTAATTAATTAACAATCTGGCTTGGTTTCAGGCGCAGATTAATATTTGCACCATCCTCTTGAGTTTGCTATTCAGACTGAAGGCCTTTCACTAGCTTTCGCCATTCGCACAGTTATAGACTAAGCTCCAATTGTGAAGAGGAGCAGCATATTGAAAGTAGTAGCTATAACACAGAAATATGTAGCACGATTAAGATGAGTTAAGTCAATTTTCCACTTTCATTGCGTCTGCGAAACTTGGAGAGACAGATTATTATTTCGTTGAGTAAGCAAAGAAACCTTTTCTATTTCAAAATTCTTTCTTGGATATTTTGCTCTTTAAAAATTGTACAAATTTGGTATTACATAGAAATGTAAACTGTACTTAATTTTCCGACATATTTTTGCACGCAATTAGGCTAAGTATGTGCACAACGCAGCTGCGTCCCCGAGCAGCAAGTGTGACATCCTACGGGAATGTAGCCGTGTAGACGCACCCATTTGTGTGCTGGCTATAAAAGCGCAGCTCGCAATGCCGCGCAGCTCAGTTGAGGCAACGACGTGGATGGACGCGCTATGGCCACAATAGAGGAACAAGAGGAGAAGCCCAGCTGCCTGCTGCCGGGGCCAGAGCTGTTGGTCTTGCCGAACTTCGACTATCAACGTGCCAGCATCACTTCGGCGGCGTTAAGTGATGTGCCCAGTGATGTGATTATCAAATCCCGGATCAGATACGGCAGTCGTCTGTCCGCCTGCAAGGGAATGCTGCTGGAGTACTCGAAGAGCACCACCATCCATGGCATACGCTACATATTCGAGCTGCATCGCCCCATATACGAGAAGTGTGTGCGTGCATCCTCAAGCGTTGTCCAGTTTCCCCCTGAAAGTGCGTCTGTCTTTGTGTTTCCTCAGATTATACTGGCTGGTGTTGACCTGTACTTCGATGTATTTTGCGGCCTCGCTCATTTGGGCCACCTACCTCAAATGGCAGGACTCGCCGGTCATCCTGGGCTTCGACGAGACGCTGGTGCCAGTGCACAAGATACCGTTCCCCACAATTACCATATGCCCGGAAATTAAAATGGAGCGCGAGGTCTTCGATTATGCGAACATCTCACAAAAGATCTGGCAGGAGTTCAAGGAGGGTAACCAATTTTCCAGTGTAGATAAAGAAGAGTTGAGTATTGAGTCTCAAAGCAGAATCGGAATTGTACTCTCATGTGGTTCTACAAATTTATATATAATGATTGATATTTGGCAATCATAGTTTCAGTACTTAATCTTGTCGAAAAAGTGGCGACTGATATTGGTTTCTTGTCCATCTATTTATAGTCTGGAGCGTATGGCAGCCACCATGCACATTTGTGACTCGGATGTTGCTAAGAGGTTTGCGCCGATTCTGTCAAAGCTGCATAGCCAGCAAACGAAAATTGTGACGGAGACGTTGGTGGACCTGAGCATCTCGAAGAATGAGACGGGTCCGTTTTGTCGCTGGAATGGCCGGTTCTACTTTTGCGACAAGCTCTTTGACTTTGTGGCCACGGACGAGGGCATTTGCTATCAGTTCAACGGTCTGCGACCCAAGGATATATATCGCGATGAGCGTTTCCTCAGCTATGTGGATCCGGACGTAGTTGACTTTCAGAACTACTTTGACACACAATTGCCCAGACTAAATGAGATTCGGGGCAACTGGTCGCTGTCGACGGGCTATGTGGATCAGGGCCAGAACTCGTATCCCCAGCGCACTGTGGCCTCATCGGTTGCGAAAGGGTTCTTTGCCTTCTTACAGGGACTAGAGCACAATTACGACTACGATTGCCGTAGCTTTAAGCAGGGCTATAAGGTGCGTTACTATGTTGTTGGTGTTGTGTTCCCTCGCATTCGTTTATTGTTAATTTGTCTTTCCAGGTCTTTCTCAACTCTCCAGAGAGTGTGCCGGTCACATCGAACAATTATATTCTGGTGCCCCATGGCCATGAAGTCATGGTTAGCGTGTTGCCCAGCTATGTCGTGTCCACGAATAATTTACATGAAATTACAGCTGAAAAGTGAGAATATCAGAGACACCTTACATGCACGCATGCACATGTATATTATACATAAATATACACATACATATTAGAAGTATTGCAGAAAGAGCCATTTAATACGCTTGGGATATCCCTTGTAGACTGTTTCTTTAAAGCTCTCTTATTATTTTTTACACATTCATTATATGTAAACACTAGACATATTTCTTTAACCATAACATTTATATCTTGTATGTTCTCTTTGCTATATTTCTAAATTTCAATAGGCGTCAGTGCTTCTTCGATGATGAACGCCATCTCCGGTTTTTCCGCAGCTATTCGCAGAGCAATTGCCAGACCGAGTGCCTGGCCAACTTTACAATGACAAAGTGTGGCTGTGTCAAGTTTTGGATGCCCAGTGCGTGATCGTACATCGAGCATGGCTACATCATCAGCTCTAAGTCAGTATCTTCTCCTTGCAGAGCCCTTGGATGTGCCAGTTTGCGGACTTGAGAAGATTGACTGCTACACTAAGGCACAGGACGAACTCTATGCCCTATTGCAGAATCAGACCGTACATCAGAGCGTCGATCCCAATACCAAGGTCATGTGCAACTGCATGCCCGCATGCACCTCCTTGGAATATAACTTTGAGATATCGCGTGCCTTCTATAATCTGGAAAAAACATTAGTAGCTTTTCGTGAAGTCTACGAGCACAATGAGTAAGTAACTACGCCATAGAGTATATCAGTAATAGGGTTGTCGAATATTTTTAAAATGTATCGATGTTATTTTAGGTTTTGAAAAAATATCAATATGATTTTTGATATGCAACTTTAAAAATATCGATATATCAACATTGTTCGATAATTGTTTTTCTTTTTACTTTTTCCCACAATAAATTTATAATCCGTGCCAAAAAAAAAAAAAAAAAAAAAAGAAAATAAGAATAAACTTTTTTTATTTACATTATAAAAATGCGGTACTCAAAAGCAACAAGGTGCTTGTTTTTTATATACGACGCCATATTTGATTACATGTGGCTGTTCCATTTTTTAAGTTTGAATATTACGTTTTCACCCTACTTAATTTTTGTACATTCGCGCTTGGTTCACTTATTACGCAAATGTACATATAATGATTTTCCATGTTCAATTGGTTCAGGATATACAAAATATCACAAAAAATATTCGAAGTTTGGCCAAAAACATATTCTGATATATAATATATATTTTTATATTATTAACAAAAAATACCGATGTATTGATATTTTGATATATTTTCAACAACCCCAATCAGAAATATTCATATTTACCATTATATATTGCTACTCCAATCAGAAATATTCATATTTACTATTGTATATTGCTGCAGTGCGATTGGCTCGCGCCTGACCGTCTACTTCAAGGAGCATCAGTTCACGGCTATAAAGCGAACCGTTCTGTATGGCGTATCTACGTTGATATCCAATTGTGG